ATCTATTTTCTTCTTCTTTTTTAATATTATTAAATATCCTAATACAAATAATCTCAACGCCAAAACATTAGATTCCCTCGTAAGTTGTAGGCAGCACAGTAATTCACAACTCATTTTTGTCAAATTAATCCCAAAGAACTTTATCATTTGTGTTCATTTTCCTTCACCTTTTCCTTCACGTACTTCTATTGTAGTTTGAATTCAACGCTAATGTTAGTACAATAGTGTAAATTAAAGAATTTAAATTTAATGGCTACGGCCTTAGATAGGGGCAAAGACTGCCAAAGTGGGGTTCTTCCCATCCACTACTTTCCTTGAAAATGAGCACTACCGGGACCCCAAATCATTATGGCAGTAGTAGAGATGAAGTTATCCAAAAATTAATGTAGGCGTTCCATGCTCCTTTCTTTCTTTCTTTCTTTTAATGCATCAATCTGATAAAATGGTTCATTCGTTTTCAAATCGGTCTTAGATCCACAGTTTGTTGGGATGCTTTCTTTCTTTTATCACTAAAGAGTAGATTTTCCCCTTTTTTCTTTTTTTTTTTCTTTTTTTTACAGTTAAACTGTTTTTAAATTGACTTCTAAATATTTCAAAATTATTTTCTAATCATACAGCTTAATTATTAGCTTTACATAGCTTGACACATTTTAATACTTGATTTCAAATTTTTTTTTTTTTAACAATTTTACAAAAGATTATATTCAAATCGTTGTCTGAAAAAAAAGATACACTTAAATATGATTTGATACCATTGAATCCAAAAGGCAAATATAATTTCAAAAATTAAGTCGTTCTTATTTTAGAGTGGTCTAATCTAAATTTAAATGCTCAACCTAGAAATTATTGATACATTTAATTAAAAAAATATATAATAATTAAAGAAAATGCTAACTACAAGTGGGGTCAAAAAATAAAAAATAAAATAAAGAAGATGCCATATATGGATATTAATAGCCACTAGAATAGCCATTGGTTCAAAGCGCAGATCTCAACACTGCCAGGAAAATGGCAGGTCGTGCAAAACCACTTTCGACTCTGCTGCTCTGTTTCCTCCTCCTTCTCTGTACCTCCACTGCCATCCACGGAAAGAAAATCCGACGAGCTGCGTCATACCACCCATGTAAAAGCCTGGTCTTTTACTTCCATGACATTATCTACAATGGCCAGAATGAAAAGAATGCAACTTCCGCCATTGTTGGAGCACCGGCATGGGGAAACATGACCATCTTGGCAGGGCAGAGCCATTTTGGCAACCTGGTGGTGTTCGACGACCCTCTTACTTTGGACAACAATCTGCATTCAACCCCAGTTGGACGTGCTCAGGGGTTCTACTTCTACGACAGGAAAGATGTCTTCACGGCCTGGCTTGGG